GAGCAATTTGACATCCCCACAACATTTAAGTGCGTGAGGAGGGTGTGGTGGGCTTTTTTTTTTTTTTAATCATATTTTACATTTTTATCATATTTGACAAAATCATCGGTTTGCGATGGATCTGGGAGTAAAAGACAACCAGTCCTCCTCACAGATAGTTAAAGCAGGTCTGGGTGAGAGCCTCACAGGTTTTCCGAGGCCTAAAGAGACATTCCAGAGCTTGGGGAGGAGAGGAAAAGCTTTATTGTGACCAAAACGTGGGGAAGAAAAAAAAAACCCTGCCAAGTCAAAATTAACCTGTGTTTAACTAAAGGTGTAAAAACCCAACGTTATAGCAACTGTATTAATTGTTGCATTACATGTACATAAAAGTCATTCCATATGCAAATGCGAATGAGACGATGTCAGCAGGAATTTGTGTGCTTGCGCAGGGAAATCCTAGCGGAGGGTACATTAGATGAGTTTCATAGGGACGAGTCATTTCAAAAGGCAAGTTATCAAAACCCTGTAAGATGAGGCCGGGCGTGGTGGCTCACGCCTGTAATCCTAGCTCTCTGGGAGGCCGAGGCAGGCGGATTGTTTGAGCTCAGGAGTTCGAAACCAGCCTGAGCAAGAGCGAGACCCCGTCTCTACTAAAAATAGAAAGAAATTAATTGAACAACTAAAAATATATAGAAAAAATTCGCCGGGCATGGTGGCGCATGCCTGTAGTCCCAGCTACTCGGGAGGCTGAGGCAGGAGGATCGCCTGAGCCCAGGAGTTTGAGGTTGCTGTGAGCTAGGCTGACGCCACGGCACTCACTGTAGCCCGGGCAAAAGAGTGAGACTCTGTCTCAAAAAAAACAAAAAACAAAAAACCCTGTAAGATGTCTTTGCAGCCCCTAGATGGGGGGTGTATTTTAATATGTTTTGTGTGACATGAACCAGGGCCTTTGAAGGTCTTAAAACAGGCCTGTTTGGTGAATGCCCCAATGGATGTTGGGAGGGGGATGGATCTGACTCACTTTGCCTCTCTCCTCTGTAGAATGGGGGCAACCTGCTGTGTGCAGTGGACGAATCCAATGATCATGTGCTCTCTGTGTGGGACTGGGCCAAGGAGGCCAAGGTGGTAGATGTCAAGGTGGGGTCATCGTTCTCATCCCCTCCCTCTGGGGTGCCCCTGTGGGACTTTCCTGGTCTCAGTGGTTAGGATTCTAGAATCGGATAGATCCATGTGTAAGTCCTGGCTTTGCCACGTGCTGGCTATGGGATTTTGATCCAGGCGCTTGCCCTCTCCGAGCCTCAGTTGCCTCATCTGTAAAATGGAGATGATGGTGGCATCTTCCTCGTAGGGCCTTGGTGAGGATGTTGGGTTATGGGGTGAGTGGACCAGGCCCAGCAGAAGGGTCGGTATGAGGTGGTTGCTGACTACACAGTCCTGGGGTGTCAGAGACGAGCCTTAATTTTCCTCTCTGGGCAGTGGCCTATTTCACAGATGAGGCATAGTCGTGGGGAAAGATACTCGCCCAAGGTCACACACCTGTCCTGGGCTGGGGACAGGAAACTTAGGTTCTGGACCAGGGTCCACTGCTTGGGGAAGGAGAAATGGTTGAGACCATTTCTGCAGTCAGACCTAGGTGAGCTAGATTCCAGACATGACTCTTACCTAGCTGTGTGGCCTCAGGCAAGTCGATTGCCCTCTCTGATCCTCACATCTTTATCTGTAATGAGGGGGCGCTAATGGGTCTTACCTCCCAGGGTGCTGTGAGACTATAAGTGCTTACTTAGCACAGTGCTTAGTGCAGAATAGGGGCTCTCAAAGGATCTGCCATTATGTTGGTGGTGAAGAAGACTATAATACTGCTGCATGGGCTAGTCCTGCCTCCTGTAGTTTAGCATAGGAAAGGTATAGGCAAGTAGATTGCACAGTGCACAACCCACACAGCTGTATAGGGCGGTCTCGTGTGGGGTGGGTGTGGTAGTCCTGGTGGCTTTGAGGTCCTCATTCAGAATCTCCTCCATCCCTCAAAGTGCTCCAACGAGACCGTGCTGGTGGCCACCTTCCACCCCACAGACCCCACCGTGCTCATCACCTGTGGGAAATCCCATATCTACTTCTGGACCCTGGAGGGAGGCACCTTGAGCAAGAGGCAGGGCCTCTTTGAGGTGAGTGCCAGGGGTTCGGGGATGGGCTGGCCCTGAGAGAGGTAGACAGGAACACTCAGAAAAGCAACAAGAAACATGAGAGGGTGGCAGAGGCTTGGGATTACAGAGATGCTGAGAGGTTGCCTGCCAGGGCCCTGGTTTCCTTCTCCATACCATGGGGGTGATCCTCCTTTGAAGTCGGGAGGAGTCAAAGGGATGAAGAGTACAGCAGCTCCTAGCAGATAGTAAGTGCTCAAGAAACGGGTACCATGGTTGTCAATAACATGGATAATCACAGAGCGCTCAGAGGTGACTGGCTGAAAGAGATACGAGCTAAGACAGACAGACTGAGCAAGGGGCAGGGGGCTGGGAGGGAAGACACAGGGGCACCTCTGACAGGGCTCCCTGCCTTTGGTGACAGTTGGGGATCCCACCCCCAAAAGGGAATCCCCGAGAACAGCAGGCACAGGTGGAGATGAGACGCAGACACTGAGAAGGAGGCCGAGGCAGGGGAAGGGGCCTGGAGGGACAGTCTGAAGACGGGGAGGGCAGGAGGTGGGCCCAGGGGTGGGGAAGGGGGACAGCTGGGGTCAGAACTTCCAGGCCACCTGAGCACCCCAGGTTGGAGGCAGGGTGGAGATGGGGTTGCCCCATACGGGGCCTCACATGCAACAGCATAGAGGGCATCCTCTAGGCCATGGTCCTGGGTGACAGGTGACCCCTGGAAGGCCACCCTGCTTCAGCAATGCTCTGACACCTTCCTCTCCTCCCCCATCTTAGAAACACGAGAAACCGAAGTATGTGCTGTGTGTGACCTTTCTGGAGGGTGGCGACGTGGTCACTGGGGACTCTGGGGGGAACCTCTATATCTGGGGCAAAGGTCAGTGTCACCCCATCTGTTTGGTCCCCAACCCAGTCTCCCCAAACACCCCTGGCTGTGCCTCCCTTCCTAGCTGCTCGTGTGGAATGGATGATAAACCGAATTAAATCACCACCTGTCCAGTTCCCACACCCCCTTCAGGGCTCAGCACAAATGTCCCCATCTCCATGAAACCTTTATTCCCCCAAGCCTTGCTGTCCTCCACAAATCCCATGTTTGGGCTCAAGTCTGGATGACTAATGAATGGGTTAACTGAGTTGTGGGTGGATGGATGGACAAGTAGTCGGAAGGAAGGAAGGATGGGTGGACAAATGGATAGACAGGTGGATTGTCCCAGCCTGTGGCTCGATGAATGAATGAATGAGTAAAGGAATGAATGAATGGTGTCATCTTAGTCAATGGATAGAAGAATGAGTAAACAAATGCGTCGTCCTCCTTAATGGGTGGGTGATTAAATGAATGAACAATTAAATAAATGAGTGGTTATCACTACTACTGGATAATTATGTTAATGAATGAATAGGTCTTGTCCCAGTCAGTGGATCTATATATTAATGAATGAATGAGTGAATGAATGAATGGTTGTTTTAGCCAATGGATTAATGTTACGAAGAATAGACGGTTCTAGGAAATAGACTGTTGACTGAATGTGTAATGAGTTCATTGTTCTGGCCAATGATGGATGAATAGTTGAAAAAATGGTTGTTCCAACCAGTGGATGACTTTATGAATAAATTAATGAATTGTTGGCTGGGCACGGTGGATCCCACTTGTAATCCCAGCACTTTGGGAGGCCAAGGTGAGAGGATCACTTGAGGCCAAGAGTTCAAGACCAGTCTGGGCAACATAGCGAGACCCCGTCTCTATAAAAAACAAAATACAGTGCCTGTAGTGCCAGCTACTCAGGAGGCTGAGGCAGGAAGATAGCTTGAGCTCAAGAGTTGGAGGTTGCAGCGAGTTGTGATTGCACCACTGCGCTCCAGCCTGAGCGACAGAGTGAGACCTGTCTCTAAAAAAAAAAAAATTAACGAATCATCCTAGCCAGGGCTAAAGGAGTGAAAACTTTGTCTCAGCCTTTTGGTGAATGTGTGAATAAAAGAATGAATGGGTTATCCCAGCCATGAACAAATGAATGACTTTTTTGGCCTGGGTACTGTTGCTTTCACATACATTATATTCCTTATCCAAGGCTGCACTGAATATTATTTCCATTTCACAGATGAAAAACACTGGGCTCAGAGAAGGGAGTGACCCAGCACAAGGCCGAGCTGGGTAGAGTCAGGGCACTTGGTCCCTAAGGGCTGACTCCTGTGCCACCTTCAGATCCTTGCTCAGCTGTCCTCTCCTCCAGGAAGCCCTCCCTGACCCACCCGCCTGGGTGCCCTCTATGGGATCTCACAGTCTCCTGGGTTTCCCTATTCTGGGCCTAACCACCTTGAGTCGTCACTGACTCCTGATGAGTCTGTCTCTGCCACTGGGCTGTGAGTCCTGGAAGGGTATGACCTGAGGTTATCTTGGTCACCACTGTGTCCCCCGTATGAGGCTGGGCCCAGAGTAAATACTGGTTACATAATTGTTGATTGATTGGGTTAATGAATGAATGAATGGATAGACTGATGGTTGGATAGACGGGTGAATGGTGAATGGGTTGATGGGTGGATGTTTGGATGGAAGGATGGATTGCCTGGTGAATGGGTAGTTAGACGAAAGAGAGGGAAAATGAATGAGTGAGAAGGGGATTGATGGATGGATGGAAGGAAAGGTGGATAGATGGATAGATCAGTAGATGGGTGGGTGGGTGGATAGACAGAGTGGTGGGTGGATGGATGAATGAATGGATGAGTAGGTAGGTAGATGCGTGGACAGACCAGTAGATAGGTGGGTGGGTGAATAGATGGGTGGGTGGGTGGATGGGTCAAAGGGTGGATGGACAGATGTTAGCTCAGACGGTTTAATGCGTGGATGGTATTTGAGAAGGTGGGTGGTGGGTGAGTGGGTGGGTGGGCAGAAGAGCAGATGGAAGTGTGGAGAGGTGGGTGGATGAATGGATGGGTGGATGGGTGGGTGGGTGGATGGGTCAAAGGGTGGATGGACAGCTGTTAGCTCAGATGGTTTAATGCGTGGATGATAAGGTATTCGAGAAGGCGGATGGTGTGTGAGTGGGCGGGTGGGCAGAAGGGCAGATGGAAGGGTGGAAAGGTGGGTGGATGAATGGACAAGGTGCTTTCAGGGGTCAGTACAGGGGCAGCTTCCCCATGCTGACCCCTTTCCCTGGCCACCCTGCAGGTGGGAATCGCATCACGCAGGCGGTGCTGGGTGCCCACGATGGCGGCGTGTTTGGGCTCTGCGCCCTGCGGGACGGGACGCTGGTGTCCGGAGGGGGCCGCGATCGGCGGGTGGTCCTCTGGGGTCCTGACTACAGCAAGCTGCAGGAGGTGGAGGTGAGGAGGGAGAGTGGGCTCCTGAGGGCGGAGAGGCCCCGCACCCCACCAGGGCTCCCAACACCCCACCCTTCTCCCCCCAGCACATCACCCCCACCCCTGCATGTGTCCTGTGCTCATCTGTCCTCTCTCGTCTGCCCACCCAGGTCCCTGAGGACTTTGGCCCTGTGCGCACCGTGGCAGAGGGCCAGGGGGACACGCTGTACGTGGGGACTACCCGCAACTGCATCCTGCAGGGCTCTGTCCACACGGGCTTTTCGCTGCTTGTCCAGGTGAGCGACTCTCTTCTGTACCCCTCCCCCCTCCAACTATTTCCCTTTTCTTCCCTGCTCCATCCCTTTTCTGGCCTGGCCCTGACCCAGGGCCTCTCCAGAGCTCCCCATGATCCGGGAACCAAGGGGTTAACTTGAGCACAGCAGAGGGTCCCCAGGCCCCTGCTCCAGCTATGCTGCCCCTTGCCCCTCTGATTGGGGTGGCATCCTTCAGGTCGGGCCTGCGTCTGCCCTGGCCACAACATACCTCCCCGTTCTCCGGCTCCAAGGCTCTGGGAAGGCCCTCCTGGAGTCTGTCTGCATTTCTTCTTGCAACTACATGCCCACTCCTCCCTTCCTGCTGCGCCACGTCCCTACCTCCCCCCCCCATTAAAAACCCACCTGCCAGGAGGCACTAAAGTATGGTAGTTAGGAATATGAATTTTGGCGCGTGGCTGCCTGTGTTTGAATCACAGCCCCGTCGCTCGTTAGCTGTGTGATATAGGGCAAGTGAGCAACCGCTCTGTGTCTCTGTGAAACGGGAAGTAACAGAGTCGATCACGTGGGGTTTTAGAGGATTCGTGAGTCACTTCAGACACAGCATTTAGATGGTGCCTGGCTCAGAGTAAGTGCTCACAAAGTCTTGGCCAAAATGACTCCTTATTCCCCCCTTCCCTGCATTTTCCCTCTGATAGTCTAGCTGAAATCTATGCTGCTGCATTTACATGCCCCTCTGGTTCTGGTTTCCATAAGAAGATGAAGGAAAACAAGAGCTAGAGGGATTTTCTAGTTGTCCTGAGGCCAGAAGGGACCTTAGAGACCTCTAGTAATAATATTGTAATAATAGCATAATAACATTAATAAT